GAGGTTGGAGGCAATATAACCCCCTGGAGGGGAGAGTCAAGCATGCTTGACCCATGTGACAGGATGAGGTGATAGCATGGGCTGTACCATTTGAGACCACGCACAGGGGGAAATTAATTTTTAAAAATTTCCATGTAAAGACTCCTCAAATTTTTTTTAAAAGCACGTCATGGTGAAAAGGTTCTACCCTTATCCTATGTATCCTTTGCTAGTTTCCCCATTTATGGAAAATTCCAGGAGAACACTGAACCACGTGATCCCATACCTGCAATGTAAAATGGTGTAGTCCATGCTATCACCTCACTGGCTGCATGCCTAGGCCATGCTTCAGATAGCACAGTAACACCAAAATGGCCATTGTACCAAAAAAAAAAAAGTTGACCTTCCTTTCCCCCAGTCTTGGTTCTGTAGTTATAAAGATTTAGAAAGGGGGGGGGGAATCCCTTCCCGGGGAGTCTCATCATCTTAAGTTCATTCTCTAACTAGACCGAAGTCATTTCTCTCTGGCCCACAAGATGTCACCATTAGTCTTTGCTAGGTGTTAGAAAGCCGTTCTGGCAGGGAGGGTTTCTCAGGGAAGTGAGAACAGCTTTGAGTCCAGAGCAGATGCACACTGCGTGTTTTACCACAAAGGATTTGCCAAGCACATTAGAGGCCCAAAAATAACTTTGCACCTTACGACGAAAGAGAAAAAAGCACAAGTGTTTCCTCTTCGTGTGTTGGGATGTCAGGTACACAGCAATGCTCCCTTTAAGCTGTGTAGTCTTGTGAGCAAAAATTCTACTTGGTGAGCCACTGACATTAAAGTTGTGAGGGAGCGATTTGGCTGCTGCATAAATTAGTTTGCCCTGGAGCCATCCTTCCTGAGCTAAGACAAAAATGTGTGAGCCGCAGGCTAAAAAACTGTGAGCTAACTCACACTAACTCAGCTTAGAGGGAACACTGGTACACAGAGGAAGCTGCGCAGGGATAGGATGTACATTTTCTAGCTACTCTCTCCTGCTCTGCCCAGAGAAGAGTCCTTATATTGTCAGGTGTGGCATTGTGGTATCATCCAGGAAATGGGAACACAATGAGAACGGCTGCCCTGTCACATGACACAGGAAGCTGCCTTCTACTGACGCAGACCCTTTGTCCAACAAGGTCAGTATTGTCTATCCAGACTGGCAGAGGTTCTGAAGGAAGAGGTCTTCTCCATCCCCAACTGCCTGGTCCTCTTAACTCGAAATGCCAAGAGATTGAACCTGGGACCTTCTGCATGCCAAGCAGATGCTCTCCCACTGAGCCACAGCCCCTCAAATTTGTAGTCCACCCTTATACCAAGGAACACAGAGCAACATACATAGTTTACCCCTCTCCATTTTAACCACACAATAACCCTGTGAGGGGGGAATAGGTGGAGCATGAGAATGATCGGCCTAGGGTGGCACAGTGAATTCATGGCTAAATGTCCCATTCTAACCACTCCCACCACTTTGGGCACTCTACAGAGCCAGATAATACGGAAAGGAAGAGCAATGACTGTGCTGCTTTTAATCTGACAGCCACAGAGCCCAGTCCAGTTTTTGTGTTTTTTAATGAGCTTGCATTGTATTGGCACACAAAAGGGAAGAAATATCTAGGGTAGAAAGCCTGGTTTCTTTCTCTTGATAGTTCAGATTATTCCAAGTGGGCACCTTGTAACGATATGAGCTTATGTTTGTATTTAAAGGTGCCACTGGACTCAAAATCAGTCCAGATGACGCATAAGATCTTCTTCCATTCCCATCCACGGTCAGACGCTATGGAAAACGAAGTCTAGCTAGCACAACCGGAGGTGTGCTGATGGTCCTCCAACACGGAAGAAAGCATGGACTTTCTGCCCTGAGAAAGAGGCAGAGAGGAATGCACACAGTACAGTCTTACTGTAAAAGTCCATAAACACAACCTGCCCACTTTCGTAGTGCAGATGCACTTGTATTACTCTGGGTAAAGAGCTCAGAGTCAGAGGGGTTGCACGGGACGTGTGAACCAAGTATCTGCCATTGCTAAATGCCATGGCCCAGATTCCTTCCTTGGGGATCAGATTGACGGACCTCTTCCTCGGCACAGACTCTAGAGCGACCCCAATAGCCCATGGCCCCTCCTTGTCCACCTCAACTACCCAGAAGTGATGCCCGGAGGTGAATCCTTGGTTACTCAGCAAGCAGCGACTGTAGCTGAATCTCCGGGTGCCAGGAAGGAGGCCTTGTTGGATATCCTGTCCCCATCTCACGCTTTTGCCGCTTCTGGAGACGACCAGGTGAGGATGAGCTGTCTCTGCATCAAAAGTCACTGAAGGGGGAGACAGACACACAAACCAACGGAACAACTTAACGGCTGAAGAATTTCTGACATTCACAAAACAATCATCCTGAGCAATAAAGCAGACTTTGTTATATATGCAAGAACGACAGTTTAGATTAAACAGGAGCCTTCTGGCACCTTAAAGACTAAAAAGGCTGTATTCCAGCATAAGCTCTCTAGTCCACAAATGGGGGGGGGGAATGCCCATCTTATCATAGAGGGGAATGTAGCTCAGTGGTCGGCTTGGCACGCAGAAGGTCCCAGGTTCAATCCCCAGCATCTCCAGTTAAAAGGATTAGGTAGGTGATGTGAAGGACCTCCGCCTGAGACCCTGCAGAGCCACTGCCAGTCAGAGTAGACAGCACTGAACTTGATGGACCAGTGGTCTGATTCAGTGTACACCAGCTTCAACCAGGGTTCTTTTTGTAGCAGGAACTCCTTTGCATATTAGGCCACACACCCTAATGTAGCCAATCCTCCAAGAGCTTACAGAGCTTTTCTTACAGGAGCTACTGTAAGCTCTTGGAGGATTGGCTACATTAGGGGGGGTGTCGCTTAATATGCAAATGAGTACCTGCTACAAAAAGAGCCCTGCGTGATGTGTCCAAAGGTGGCACAAGACTCCTGCTGATTTTTGTTGCGCCAGACTGTCAGTGGCTGCCCACCCCCCACCCCAGTTGAGATTGTAAGATGCTGTCTGGAGAGATAATGGGTCTATTTCAGCCCCTATCTTCAGTACAAAGACCACAGTACTTCGAGAACTGCTGTAAGGACAGTCAAAAATCTAAATTCTATATTACAACCATTATTGTTAAGGCCCTGCCTGCATTTCTACCCTGCTCTGGGAATCCTCTATTTGGGGAGTCAGTGGCTTGGATTCATCAGAACATTTCTGCAGATGGCCTTCTGCCTGCAAAATGCAACTTTCTTGTGTCCCCACTCCTTCATCAGCCCAAAATGCTGCTCCCAGTGATAAAGTTGCATAAAGATGATAAAGGCACATAAGCAGAAATCCTTCTCTCTTTGGAACTCACTCTTGTGGATCCAAACTTGTGTGTTGTGGGTACGGTGTGGGATCAGCACAGGGGAGATCTGTATTCAGATCCCTACTTGTCCTGGAAGGACACTGGATAATTTTGGCCCAATCATTCACTCTTTCAGACTAATCTGCCTCACAAGGTTGTTGTGAGGATAAAGCAGAGGAGGGGAAAATCTGAACTTCTCGAAGGAAAGAGGGGATAAAAATGTGACCAAGTCAATCAACACCTTCTTCTATCAGTGGACAAGCTGTCCTCCCTTCACAGCATGTTATCTTTTAAGAACCTGCGCGTCTTTCCATTCCTTTGTGTAAGCATTATTGCATTCCTTCTCCATCTCTAATTAGGATCAGACTTACATGGTTCAATGGTTGGTGCAAGAATCAGAGGTTCTGGTGGAGGAAGAATGAGATGGGAATGAAATCTTCTGGAGCACAATGTTACTCCATTGAGTAAGCTGTTCTCTCTCCAACTGAGCACAGTTAGGGGCTTCCAACTGCCTGGAGAAAAGAAAAAGTTCTGTCCCTTTAATAGAGACTGACTGGTTTAATTCCATGCTACGAAAAGCATTGATCAGTGTTCCCTCTGAGTTAGTGTGAGCTAGCTCACAGTCTTTCAGCCTCCTGCTGACGCATTTTTGTCTTTGCTCAGGAAGGATGGCTCCAGAGCAGACTAATTTGTGCAGCAGCCAAATTGCTCGCTCACAACTTTAATGCCAGTAGCTCACAAGGTAGAATTTTTGCTCACGAGACTCCACGGCTTAGAGGGAGCATTGACGTTGACTGCCTATTTCTGGATATTAAACCAAGGATGGGACATTTATTTTCCCTGGCCAGCTAGGAACCTTAGCCACAGCCCAAAGGGATGAAGTTTAACTTTTGTATTGCCCGTATTTGTTGTGGAAACTGAAGGATGTTCAATAATGAATTTATGACATGCTGTGAAAGGAAAAGCAAAAACAGAGATGTTGTTGTGAAAAAGTGTGGGGAAGTCTGGAGTATGAGAAATCCTTCAGACAAGTTGCATCAGCTTTGTTTTTTTCCAAACTGGAGCTGCTGAGAAGGAGAGTGCTGAAAGAGTAACGGCAACCAAAGAGGCAAAGGGGAAGAAAACACTCTGGGAGCAACCTCAAGATCTAAAACAAGACAGAAAAAGAACTAGGAGATTTAAAATGTCCAGAGGGCTGGTAGTATGAAAAGCACAACCATTAGAGAAATCCCTGACTTCATCAGGAACAAGAAGCAAAATTCTCAGGGCACTGACTAGCAATGTTCCCCCTAAGCTATGGAGTCTTGTGAGCAAAAATTCTACTTTGTGAGCTACTGGCATTAAAGTTCTGAGCAAGTGATTTGGCTACTGCATAAATTAGTTTGCTCTGGAGCCATCCTTCCTGAGCTAAGACAAAAATCTGTGAGCCGGAGGCTAAAAAACTGTGAACTAGCTCACTCTAACTCAGCTTAGAGGGAACACTGCTGACTAGTAGTCAGTTATTTCACAGACACCTCCTTTTCGTGAACAGACTAGTCTAGGTGGGTTACAGCATTATCTCTCCAAAGGAGAGGAGGGGAAGGAATGCTCCTCTTAACAAGCTGCAGAGCCCTACAGGAACAATAAAAACTAAACACACACTCCTCAAAATACAAAGAGCCACATACCTTTACACGCATCCTTAGGGAGATAAACAGGAGTCCAGAGGCACTTTCAAAACAACATTTTATTCCAGGACATTATAATGTCTGCCTAGGAAGGACCCACAATATTCCTCTGATATCGAGGATTTTAGACTGTAAAACCTCATTCTGGCCGTGTATCACCAAGCAAAGGTTGCTAACAGGTCTGGTGGGAAATCTCCTGTCCCTCTTTGCAGAGGCTTAATATGTGGAAATGGGCGGCTGAACTTTTTCATGGTACGGAGGTAAATTATATCACCCGGTAAATTAAAACCCATTAAGCCTGTTAAAGGGTATTAAATCTTTTTTTCCTCCAGGCCACTGGTAACCCTACACTAGATTCCCATGTATTTTTTCAGCAACAGATTAGCACAGTTACCGCCTGAAATGCCTATAGGGAATGGCCTTAAAAATACTAAATAACAAGAGTGTTTTAGTTTTTATTTTCAGTTTCTGCTGTGATCTTTGTGCTTTTTCTTGATGTTTTATTTTAAAAAACTGCATTGCCAAATCCCACTACCCCTCACCTCTCCATTTTAGGTAGGCATCTCTTAAGGGCGGCGGAAGGTTTGGGGAGAGTCAGTTATCAAAGACTGTTAAATAAAATATGGCAAGAGTGTTACTGTTTTAAGCATGTTTGTATTTTAAGTTTTAAAAGACCCTTTAATTGTGTTTTCTGGTGTCCTTTATAAAGTGAATATCTTTGCTACCTGGCATTACATTTTATGACACACAAAGTCCTATTTGTATCAGATTCGGCCCTTGTAACAAATGAGTTTGACACCCCTGGACTAAACCTCAAGAGCTTCCATTGTCCCCTCAGGCAAGGCACAGACTTTCTTGACAATGGTGTTTAAGGAATTCCCATTCCCAGGGACAGCCCACCCTGCTCTTAAAACCTCATCAAAGAATTCAGGGAAGGGGCAAACTGACAGATTCTTGTATAGTTTCTTGAACCCTCTTCCATCTAGATTGGAGCAGGCTGAATAGCTATGTTTCTCTGAAGCCTCCACCTGATAATTTAAGGTAGTCATGACCTTTTTTAAGAGTCTTTGATAATGCTCGGATTGGAAGAATCTAGAACTGTCCTTAAGAGTCAGAGTTCTCCCAGACCATTCCCCTTCCTCCTTGTCCGAGTTAGCCCCCAAAGAGGTGCCGATGGAATGCATTTCCTCTACTTCAGAGACCAGTTTTGATTCTGCTGTGTGGAGACGCTTTTTAGAGACACTCGTAACTGTCCACCTTAAAGAGTCTCTTGAAAAAGATGAAGATCTGTCCTCTTCATCCTCCACCTGCCTATAGTGCCTATGCTGTGAGTGCCTTTTACTTAGCAGCTTTTGGGGACACTTTTGACTAGCATGTAAATTTTCCTCCAAGGAGGATGATCTGGGTGAGGATGAAGGAGAATTCCCCCTCCTGTACCATTGTCTTTTACACCCCTGGCAGTCAGGCTCCCTTTGGGTATTCCTGGAGCCACCCCCTGGAGAATCTGCCGTCTCCAACAGCTCAGGCTCCTGCATGCCCGCAGATGGAAAAACGTTTTGGGGCGGGCCCATCCAAAATTATCTCCAGGCCTGTAGGATCCAGTCTGCTATGGCCTGACTAAACAGGGCGGGTAGAAATGGCACGCCCACTATACTGGGGCTTCCCACGCCTGCAGAGTAGCTTGGAATAGGTGAGGGGGCCTGCACAAAGGGAAAGGTTCCTGCGAAGGGGTCACCCAACCCGCTGTCCATCCCAGCAAAATTGTGCCCTTGGGAGCGGTTAAGCTCACCTCTGAGGGCTGCAGAATGGCTCCCCGAAGACCCAGCAGCCTCCAAGTCAGAGCGGTGGAGATCGGCAGTTGAGAGCTGCACATGGCCAGGAGGCATCTGGTTAAGCCTTAGAGAGGCTTGCATCACCGGCAACAATAAGACCGGGAAGAGCTCTGGAGTCTTGGACCTTCCCGCCTTGTTAAGAGCTGCAGTCACGGCAGTTACAGCTTGGGTCTTTCTCTCCCCTTCGTCTAACGCCTCGGATGGGGAGGGCTTTACCTGTGACTGGTTCATCTCTTTTGTTGATCCAAATCCCTGGACCCTTTTAGATTTGTCCGCATCCGTGGTTCGATTGGGTCCCACCAGAATGGGGAACTCAGTGAGTCTTTTTTCTTTATCTTCTTTATTCCTTGATGGCCACGGAGGCAGAGCGAGGCTTGTGTGTCCTGCTGGAGCTGAAGGGCTATCGAAACCGGAAGGGCAGCCTCGCTCTGCCCCAGGAGAGTCATACAGAAAGTTGCATAGCCCTGCCTGGAGTGAGAGGAGGCGTGACCTAACCAGTCTGGATGACTTCCTCCGCTGAAAGACAACCACTTTGCGCTGAACCAACTGCAGTTTCTGAAGGATGGAATCGGCTGTCATTCTCAGTTCAGCTTTGGGTTTCCTAGCCATTTCTCTCTCGCATCTGGGAAGAGAGAAATGACTGTCAAAAGAGGGCACTGCTCTAAAGAAGCCACAGGGAAGCCCCCAATTATGAACATGTTTGAAGCTGCCTTATGCTGAATCAAACCAATGGTCCATCGAAGTCAGTATTGTCTACTCAGAATGGCTGTGGCTATCCAATGTCCCCGGCTGAGGTCTTTCACATCACCTCCTACCTTGTCCTTTGAACTGGAGATGCCAGGGATTGAACCTGGAACCTTCTGCCTGTCACGCACATGCTCTATCACTGACTTACATGCCCCCCCTCCCCCATTATACAACCCCAACTCCTTTTCTGCCTACATTAACTGCCAGTCCACCCACCCCTCCCCATGCATGTACCAACTGTGCCTCTGCCAATTTTTTTTTAATTATATACCTTATTAAAATATAAGACTATAGATTAACAGATTAAAAACAACAGTAACATAGATATACGTAGCTTGATCAGCCAACATTATATTTATAACACATCTAACAAAAATAAAAACTAGATTATGCCATAATTCCAATGGGAACCTCAAAATCCTTTTGCTTCCCTTCATGAGAGAAACCCAAGGGGAGAGAAGATTAATATTCAAATTCAAATTCAAATACCTTTTATTGGCATAGAATATTAAAACATTTCCCAATAATACAATCCAAGAGAAATTATAAAATAGATAGTCGTGGGTATGTCAGGCCTAACTCAAGTTGTCACAAGTTAGATTTGACCATACAAAAGATGCCTGAATCATAAAATAAACTGGCATTCCAAACTTTTAAACTTAAGTTTTTAAACTTATAAATTAAGAATCATTAATATGATCAGGGTTACTCTTCCGTTTTATAAAACAATGGAGAAACTTAGCGGTCAGTTCAATGATCTCCAGATCTCGTGAAGCAAGGAGAAATTGTACCTTGATTCTATCTGATTGGCCTGCTACCATCCTAAGGGGGGCTTCTATACACTCCACTCGAATGTCATTTAACAATTTACAGTGTAAGAGTACGTGCTCAACAGTTTCTATTTCACTTCTGTTACAACCACAGAACCTGATTGAATAAGGAATTTGCTTATATCTCCCCTCAAGAATAGCAGAGGGGAGAACATTAAGACGGGCCAACAGATAAGCTCTACACATTTGCGGTGAAGTCAGACAGAAAAAGTAATATGGTAGAGTACCAGAAAGGGGATAAGCCCACCTTACTGAGGAGCACCTTCCGGAGGCAAGGGCTCTGAGCTCTTGCAACTCTATATCAATAAGTCTCTGTTTAAGCAAAGTAAAGACCTCAAGCTCTGACCGGATGACAAGGTCACTCAGGTTAAAACCAATAGAAGTGATTTTCTTTTCAATAGCCATAAGCCACGCAGAGGATTGAGATTCTTCCAGCATATAGGTGATAAGGCTATTGTGGTTACATCTAAAATGCAGACGTAGCCAAAATCTGAAAGTAATAATCCAGGCCTTGGTCTCTAACCGTCTCAAATTAAGCTCCAGACAAATGGCAGCATAAGATACGCACGAAGGCAACCCCAGAATCTTCCTCAGGAATTTGGATTGTAGTTGTTCAACTGCTTTATTAAAAGCAGTAATCCAGATAGGAATACCATATAGTAGCTTCGCGCTAATTTGATGTGCAAACACTTTTATAGCTGCTGGCACATACTGATTACCCTTAGTGTAATAAAACCGCAAAATTGCGAGCACACAGCAGTTCGCAGTTTTAATTGCCTCTGTTCTGTGTGTTACCCACCTGGAGTTATGATGAAAGGTGACCCCCAGATATTTAAAGCTTTTAACCTGCTCAATTATTTTACCCCTTATGCTCCAGTTCATAGGTTTCCAGAATCCCCCAAAGGCCATAACTTTAGATTTTTCAAAATTCACTGAAAGTCCATTATGGTCACAATAATCCAGGAAACACTCCAACAATTTTTTCATCCCTACTTCAGAGCGGGAGAGAATGACGGCA